TAATCCATACTGAAGTTGCACCAAAAATGGACTGCAGGAACCTATATGAGTTGGTCACCAGGACACATAGAGAAAGAAGTTTCCTGAGGGCTTCAGCACAAGTCCAAAAATTAGGAAGACTAAATCTCTGATCCCGATGATGAATTCTGATTGGATCCTGCAACATTATACTGTTAATGATTCTACAGGAATATGGTGGCTCAGTGGCTAAGTCGCTGAGCTTGTTGATCAGAAGGTCAGCAGTTCAGCAATTTGAATCCCTAGTGCCGCGTAACAGGTTGAGCTCCCGTTACTTGTCCCAGCTTCTACTAAACCAGCAATTCGAAAGCATGTAAAAAATGCAAGTAGAAAAATGGGGACCACTTTGGTGGGAAGGTAACAGCGCTTCGTATACCTTTAGCATTTAGTCATGCCAGTTACATGACCACGGAGAAATCTTCTGACAGCATTGGCTCTTTGGCTTAGAAATTGAGATGAGCACTACCCCCTAGAGCTGGGAAAAAATAGCATGCCAGTGCGGGGGAATCTTTTCTTAATGATTCTATATTTCTGGGGTGGGGGGAATGGAATCTACAGTTGAAGCTAAGTGCAATAGCCATAGTTGATGGATGCTTGGATCCTTTGCTTTCCTTAGGATCCTTTGCCTTCCATAGCTTTGACAGATTCCAGACTTCCAAAAGTCTATCATATCTTGGGAAAAGTATATATTCATTTTCTAGCACGGGCTGCTGCTGTGGCTTTCTAGATGTTATACAACTCCCAATATTACTCACATCAGCCAAAGTGGCCAGGGTAATGTAGAGATGAAATTTATCAATTAACTGGAGGGACATGGGTTCTTAAATTGTCAAGAATGTTGCCTTCAGGATTGTTATCAATAATGGGAGATAATTTGTTCATTGGTGCAGGATAAAGTATGTGAATAACACTACTCTTTCTATTGGTGTTTGGATGCTGCTTCAAAAAGCAAGTTGTATACAGTTTTTGAAACTTGTTAATTTTTTAAAAAGCAAGAAGTCTACCAGACTTCTTGGCACTTTATAATTTAGCTCCATTATGGCACTTTATAATTTAGCTCTATTATTAATATAAAAGGGACACGAAAGTTCTGCCTCTCTCAAAATTACCATGAAAAAAATATATGATGGTATCAGTAAAACGTTTGATTTTTGGCCCAGTCCCAGGGGTGGGTTCCTGCCAATTCTAACCTCTTCTATAGAAGAGGTTTCACAAATCTACCATGCCATTTAGAACCGGTTCCAGCTCNTTCTTTAGCTACTCCCTTCATCTGGCAACTATGCGCATGCGCACACTGGGAACAGGCTCCAACTGTTCGTCTGCCTCACTGAGGTCTGACTCTGAAGCAATGGTGGGTTCCAGATCCCCTTGCAACTGTTATGGTGCAACAGGGCCGGGCATCCACCATTTGAACATGTGCAATGCGTGTACATGTGTTCACACAGGCGTGGTACGCTCCATACGCAAAGCCTCAAAAACCTCAAATACCAGTAAGAAGCGTGGGCAGGCGGGCCCTCCAGAGCACCGTACCGGAATGGTACCTGATGCTCCTGGCGGGCACCGGTACGCCCGTACTGGGGCATTCTGGTCATAACCCACCACTGCTCTGACAGGCAGCTGATTACTGGCAACGGCTCTGGCCCCCTCTCTGCCTCCTACACAGAGCCCGCATCAGAGCCTTCCCCAGGACTAGCCCATGTTCCTCCCCAACCCCCTCACTGTGTGAATGCTGCCAGCTCTGCTAGCCACTGGCGGGCCACAGCACATGCACTGAACATGGCACAAGAATACTGTTAAGACTCCTTACCTCTACAAGCTTCATCATAGGTACCGGATTAAAAAAATGTAAACCACCAAACCGATCCTGCCGGGTGGTAGCATTAGCTAAGACCGTAATTGGCAAAGATGAAGTGTTGCTAACAAATATTGTGTCCCTGGGGAGAAAATAACATTCACCTTATGTTAGTTGCAGCTCTTCTTTCTACAAACATCTAACAATATTTTTAATCCAAAATGTTGTCCCCCAAATCAATCTATTAATTGATATCATTGTGCTCCTTTCAACCTCTACAGTTTGGACAGACAGATGGATCTTCCTAGAGAAACACTAACTTGTTCTCTCAATAGTTACCGTGTTTTTTGGAGTATAAGATGCACCTTTTTCCCTCAAAAAAGAGGGTGAAAATCTGGATGCATCTTATATACTGAATACAATATTTTTGGTCTACTGAAACCCCGCCCCGTTTACAAAAATGGACGTGCCAAGGGCTTGGGAGGCTTGCAAAGTGCTCCTGAGGGCTGGGGAGGCAAAAACAGCAAAAAACAGACCATTTTTGCTCATTTATGCCCCCCAGCAGCACTCTACAAGCCTCCCAAAGTTCTGCTTGCTCCCCCTCCTTTTTTTTTTGAAAAAAATGAGGTGTGCAGAGGGTTTGGAAACCCTGCAGAGTGCAAAAACGTTTTTTAAAAATTTACCTCTTCATAATCATGTTGCATCTTACAGTCCGAAAAATACGGTAAATTAAAATAATAAAGAGCAATACATACAAATTAATTATTGAGAGGGGGGAGGGAGAGAACGAGATACTGAGAGAGAGAGACAGAGAGAGAGAGAGACAGAGAAAGAGAGAGAGAGAGAGAGAGAATGCTCAGTAGCAAAATAATTACTGAAAAACCCATATCTTTGTACCCATAAGAACGTTAGCTATAGGCAATTTTCACAGATTGCATTCTCTTCTGCATTTCCCACATTCACCAAGTGCCCGCTAATTTCATTTCATTTCCCTCTGATTTCCCCTTTTATTGTTTTGGTTCCCTCCTTCTAAGAATGGATGTACACGAACATATGCCGGTATTGTCAAAATACACTTCCATGCCTCTGATGAAATACTGCACTTGTGCTCAGCTTGCAGTGGATACCTGTTGCTTTTTAAGGTGCTAGAAAATGCTTTAGTGCTTTTCTATAGAAGATCGTTCAGGCTCATCTCAGACTCAAAAGTTTGAGAACAACATATGTGAAGAATGTAGAAAAGAAGCTTTTAAATTAAAATAAAATCTGCATGAATACAGACCCCAAATTTAACATATTACTGCAGCAGAGAGGCTCAAGCAAAAAAAAAAATATTTCTCCAAAATGTTAGATTAACAGAGTTGGAAGGAAAATTTTAGGTCATCTAGTCCAACCCCCTGCTCAAGCAGGAGACTGTACACCATTTCTGACAAAGGGCAGTCCAATCTCTTCTTGAAAGTCTCAAGTGATGAAGCCCCCACAACTTCCAAAGGCAACCTGCTGATTGCTTGATTGTTCTCATTGTCAGAAAAATTCTGCTTATTTCTAGGTTTAATCTCTCCTTGAGCTTCTATCCATTATTCCTTGTTTGGCCTTCAGGTGCTTTGGAAAATAGCCTGACCCCCTCCTCTCTGTGGCAGCCCCTCAAATATTGGAACATTGCTATCATGTCTCCCCTGGTCCTTCTCTTCACTAAGACTACCCATGCCCAGTTCTAGTCCACTCTTAGACATAGAAGGCACTAAGGAGAATTTGAGCCAATCACTCCTTCTACTCAACCCACCCCCTCACATATGTTTATGAAAGCAAAAGTAGAAAGGAACATTATGTATAATAAAAAAAATAAAAGCAGGATATAACATANGGGGGGGGGGCAATTGTCCAGCTGCAGCCCGCTTGCCCCTTGGGGCAGCTCAAATATCGCTTTTGCCTTTCTCTTTCCGGGCGCAGTGCTTCCGCTAGTTGGACCGCGTCCTCGAAGCTGGCAGCTCTGCGGCCGTCCGCTTTGCTTTTTCCTTCTTTTTGGGAGGCTCCCGGGAGGCTTTTTGGTGAACGGGAGGAAGATGGGGAGGGGAATTTTCATACATTTCTCAAGCTCAGCACAGATGGCAGGCAGGAAAATCCCCCTCCCCATTTTCTTCCCATTTGCCAAAAAGTCTCCATTCTAAATGCTGAAGGTTCAGAATGGAGGTGACATTGCATCCACGGCACGTCCAGCTTACCGAGTCTGGCCTGCTGCACATCAAAAAAAAGTGAGATCACCTCGAAACTAAGCCCAAGTGCTTATTTTCAAGTCTAAAAGAAAATAAGACTTGGTCTTATTTTACACAGTAAATAGCTAATAACAGTTTTGCTTCAATAAATATGATTGCTACTTAATAAATTCCCAACAACATTAAGAGAATCATACAAATGCTTAGTATTTAGCATCATGTCTTATTTTTTTATTTGTTAGGATTTTTCCAAATTTAAATCCTCTTTAAGATACTCCGAGGATTCTGATGAGCACACCAGAAGGAGGACCTGAAGGCAGTTTCTCAACCATTAACGGCAATACTACTATTTTGTCCTATTACAGAACATCATTAATCAGTTTTATAACCTGTATTTTCTCCACAGGTTCAAGTGGCAAAAATAGCTTTCCATCTCTCCTTTCCACCCACCCCAAAATGCTTTGAGTGATTTTCCATGGCTGTGGAGAGATACAACCTTGTATTTCCTGTTGCTAGTTCAATGACTTAACCACTAGATCATATTGATTTTCAATGTCAAAACAGTTCCTGCAAGTTACCATTTAGTACAGTGTTTCTCAACCTTGGCAGCCTGGCTGGGGAATTCTGGGAGTTGAAGTCCGGACATCTTTAAGTTGCCAAGGTTGAGAAACACTGATTTAGTATTACATTTTAAGGTGATCTATTTATATTTGTTTAACATGGAATTCCTCTTTTCTCCTCCTTAAAAACAGCCCCTCCTGCCTTCTTGCTGATGTTCATTTTCTGTAGCAAACTTGTAGACATACAAAGGCATAAAAAGAAAAGAAAATATGGTATACATATGCTGAATCTAGCTGTACACTAATCTAAATGAGTATAATTGGTTACTGAATAAAGTGTTATTGGCTAAAATGGAAAACGTTAATTCATACTCTGCTTTCACACTGCCACCTACTGGGGGAAAACAATCAGAGCAACACTACATTTGAAGTATTTTATTCATATTAAAATTTCTACTAGTTGGATGGAGGATTCTAAACCTGAGCTGTATTTAGATCCATGGTAGTTTCAAAAAAGGCACTTCAATATGTAAAGCTCCCAATAAATCCCAGTGATTTAAAATATATAAGACCACATTGTGGAAATAAATTGCTCATAAATTGCTTTATAATCAAGATACGGCGTTGATTGGTTTGTATGGCTCTTATTGAGCAATATTACAAATACTGTAGGGAAATACTCAGCAGCTTTCCTTATGTGTGTCAGAAAAACATGGCACATTGGACAATTCATTTGTATTTGTAAAATCCTTCACCAGTCTTCTTTCCCAGTTTCTTCTCCTCTACCAACTGATTTAAAAGTTGGCTTGGAGCAAAGAGAGGATTGTCCGGTTCCATTGAATGCCATCCTAATTGAAGGGAGGAAAAACATACAGGCATTAAGACCTCAATCTGATAATGTATCACAGATACTTATCATCAGCTTCTTTCAATGGCCCCATAATCCCTTGTGGGGTAGAGTCTGAGCAACTGAATGGAGCTAGCAGAGTTTTTACTGGCTAGATGCCCTTCCTGTCGCCAATGCGGAGTTTTGTTCAGCAGATATTTTCTCATTGGGCACAGAGAGAGAAATAACCTCCTCTACCTAGGATCGAACTTACAGCCTCCTGATTGTGAGGCGGGAGCTCCACTTCTAAGCCACTGCACCACTCCGATGTATCACAGATATTTATATAATTTTCAAACTTCTTCATTCACAACTAATTACATTTTTTAATAAAGTGATAAAGCTGGCTACCATATTTCTAAAAAGAGAATTTCAGTTAAAATATTGCAACCCTTTTAAAGAAGGCTATTTTCAAGTTGTTAGTTAAGTTAAAGTTAATTAAACTAATCCTATAGACAATTGGGAGGTCAAAATGATAAAGAGAATGATTTTCGAGGTAGGAATTGGATCATTAATCGTTTTTTTCTGAGAATTTTACACATAACAAATCTCAGATTACTCATAAAACTCTTTTAAAAATACAAGAAGTGGAAAAATGCTCATAGGGTTCTCATGTTTTTATGTTCTGTTGTATTGGCCAGTCAAGCCTGTCTGCCCCTTACTAGTTAGTTCCACAGTTATAACAACATCAGAATAGTAAGCATAGACAAACCGATCACATTTGTTGCATTTGGGCAGTGTGTGAAACATCGCCATCAAAAACAAATAATTTTTTATCCAGCGTGACTGTTTTTAAGATTTTCAAACAGAACTTATACATACCATCCATAATGAATTTACTGGTATCTAAGCCGACATAGTCTAAGAGTTCAAATGGGCCCATAGGATAACCTGCCCCAAGTTTCATGGCAACGTCAATATCTTCCTTAGATGCATCTCCTAGACAAAAGATTGACAGTTGAATTGACAGAGTTCTCTCTCTCTCTCTCTCTCCCTCCCTCCCTCCCTCTCTCTCTCTCTCTGTACAACAAGAAGCAATGGATNCCCACTCAGTCACATGGCTGGCAAACCACTCCCACAAAGCAGACCACACCTATGGAAGAGGTTCTAAAAAATTTTTGAAACCCACCACTGCTCAGTCCATATTACAAGAGAATTGTCAGGCATGAAGGATCGGGATCATGCATAAGTTCAGAAGATTTATTGCTCAAGCCTACACCCAAAAATCTAGTCAACTAATATGCAATACCAAATTGGTATCAGATAACAGTTAACAGAGTTCAAGGGGAGTTGGACTTGAACCATTTGTGGAAGCATAACAACTATAGGCTGATGACTCATCTAACTCCACCCTCCAGCTCTGCCTATTCTTCTTCTACATGAACACTGATATAGTACACAAATACAGGGGAAGGCTAAGAACCTCCCTAGGGGAGCAAACAAGTAAGCAAGATGGAACAAAATATATCTATGAATAAAGTAAATGTTAGAACTACTAACAGATCAAAATATCTTAACTTGAATTGTTTGCTACTTAATGAATTTGCTTCATTGCATGTTAACGTGGGATTTTTTTTAGAGAGCTTATTTCAGTAAACACTGAGTACTTGTTATCACAAGAAAAAGTGTAATATATAACAGTACATCATTAATTATAACAGCCCAAGATTTATCATTAAATTGCTGCCTCATCTAATTACAATTGCCCCTGCAAGGTTAACATTAAATTGATTTATTTTTAGGTTACTCCCAGGTAACAGGGCTTTTATTGTGCAAGCAACGGTACAGTCACAGAATTATACCTGGGGCCCAGATGGTATGGTTTTTATTACTTTCCTGTGGTTTTTCAGATTTTTTTCTCCTCTCCTTCCCTTCCCTCCCTCCTCTTTTTTGCCATTGAAAAGTTATTATGGAGGCAAAAATTTTAAAATTTCATGAGTCTTCCTTATGAAAACAGCCTAGAGCTTGACAGAAATTTAAGGCCAACTAAAAGGATCCATTTCATTTATTTATTGCAATTATCTTATTATTTATTGCATCTAATAAATTTTATTGCATTTATTAGATGCATACTGTTATATGTTGCTAAATTATTATGCTGACCTTAGATTTTGAGTTCAGTTTTATGTTTCATGGTAAAATTCTCAAAGGAAAGGAACAAAAAATATTGTAGCTTAGAAATGTGCGGTAAAAGAAAAAAAATATTGCAAACAGACAATGTAACATAACTTAGATACTGGCTTTTGTTTTCTTAAAATCATTTTTGCAAATTATTTTGCAAAATAGACTCTGGGAGAAACTATCTGTAAGATAAATTTAGAACACAAGCAGATTTGAAGTAGAATTTTATATTAAACATACATTGTATTAAGTACATATTAAGTACACTGTAATTATTTTGTGGTAAAGAGAGCTGTAGAACAAATTGCCGGAGGAAATGTTGGAACCCAAGAGTCAAATGAACGAACATTTTCTCAGGTGGTTTAAATCATGAGATCCTGGCATGAGAGAGACTGGTGTTGATTCGCTTCCCTGTCCCTTTTAGTTTGAGGTCAGCAATTAAAGTTATCCTTCGTCTATATATTTATTCACGAATAAACCCAACCAAAACAATTTTTTTTTAAAAAAAGCATTCTTTTGTGTCAAATATATTTTTGCTTGCTCCAGTCCTTTTCAAATTGTACAGTATAGAAAAGGACAAAACCTTATTGGGAGTTTCTTGGGAGGTGGACGGGGGGGGGGGGGATTAAAATCCAGCCTCTGATCTCTGCATGCCACAAGTCTTCAATTATGCACTCTTCTTGCTGCCAAAATTTCACTGTTATCTTTCAACTGTGGAGTCTTTTAAAAAAAAAACCACACACCCAACAACTGAGGAACAGTTCCGCGTTTCTCTGCTCCAGTCACAGAGCTGCACTCCAGCGCAAATGGCAGAGGCGGCAGATCTAGTTTTGTGGCTGAGGCTCAAGGCTTCACATATGCTAAAATGTGACTCGGAGCGCTTTGCTTTGAAGCCTAGCCACAGCCAGGGAGCTGTAATTGCTGCCTTTGATTGCACCGACTTCACTTGCGGGTTAGGCTTTGCTTGGGCTTGCCTGGCTTGGCTAAACTTCAGCTGCAGCCCTCCAGTGGAGCCTTAGATGTGGGAAATCTTCCGTCTCTGTAGCACATACCTGTGGTTTCTTGAAAGGAATCCTGGCATGACCTGTTTCATATCTGCTAGGAAACTCCATTATGTTCCTTTAAGGCTCCAATCGGTTTATCGGTAGGAAATGGAAAGGATCTCCAGTTATGGTTGGCTTTTTAGCTAGCAGTTTCAGGAGGCAATGTTGTTGCTGCTATCATTTTTGGGGGGTAAAGGACTTCAATACTTGGATTTAAACAAGACAACTCTATAGGCTGCAGAATTTATGTTTAAAGAAGTAAATAGCAGAGACATACAATTAAAGTTTGGTGGTAAGGTAAAGGTTAAGGTTCCCCTCACCCATATGTGCTAGTCATTCCCAAATCTATGGGGCAGTGGTCATCTCCGTTTCTAAGCCGAAGAGCCAGTGCTGTTCAAAGACGTCTCCACGGTCATGTGGCCGGCATGACTAAATGCCAAAGGCGCACGGAACGCTGTTACCTTCCCACCAAAGATGGTNAAAAAGGAAAAGTTACATTTTAACATGTATTTGCCAAAGCCAGTAAGGAAGATTTAATCTTTAAACCATTAAGTGTTCCTTCTAAAGAAATCTGTCCGTAACGCATAGGCTGAATTCACACACTGTGTGAAAGTGATTTGCTCTGCATTGAATTAGAACATTGTGTGAACTTGGCCACTGTGACTTATAAATTTCTCTAAACTCAGCCAATTGTGACTTACTTAACCACGATTAATCAAACTATGACTCAACACAAGGAGTGAATTCTTCTCTTAAAATGTTGTACTTGGAAAATTGCATAATAGTATTTTAAAACTATTTTAAGTCATATAATTATCCATGGTTTGTATCATGCAAAAGGGTAGTGTGTTTAAATTATGGTAGCCAACCATACCCATAATTATGAAATGTGAATATGAAGGCTACAACTATCTTAATGAATGCAATGCACTTAGTAGATAGTCTTCTCAATTAGAATGCCTGATGCATCATAAGAGAAATCATGTATGTATGAAAAAAAAAATAACAGGAAAACAAAATTAGGGTTGAAGCTAACATTAATTTTCTTCTTCCATTGCCAATTCTTTCTCTCCCTACAGCATTTTGTAGATTGGACCCATATAAAATGACTCTGAGATTAGTCTGTCTAAATGCTAGTTATAAAATGTTTCTTAATAATCTATCTGAGTATTTCTTAACTTCATACATATGTGAATTTCGATTTCCTAAATTCCCAACACCATTCATGCTGGTTGGAAATTATGGATGTTCACATACCTGAGGCGTGCCCAGATAAGGATGGACGCGCTATGGAACAGAGCTATTGGGAAATCACTTTGCACACTTCAGTATTTTTCATCCCTAAATGTAATTGTGTGAATTTTTATTAATGCATATATTAATGAAGTTTTCCCATTTATCGAAAAATAGATGGGTTATATTGTTGTGCTTCTCCTACTCACTTTTCTTCCTCTTTCTCTCTCTTTTGGGCCCTACCAAAACATCTGCTGATGCCCCTCCAAACAGTCTTACACAGATTTACCNGTGCAAAGAGGAAATATTGGGCCAGTGTGGCTTCGTCCCAGTCTACCCAGTGCAAAGAGGAAACATGCCAGCAGTTTGGGGAGTGGTGTCTGTAGAATATCCCATCCTCGTCGCCAGTTTAAAATATCGGGCGGACGGAAGACGCAGGAGCCTGGAGTCAAGTCAACTGGTTTATTAACACAAGAGAAAGGTGACAGCGATTCAAACCCGCGATGCGTAGTCATCCAAATAGGCGGGGCGGCGTCAGACCCGCCCATTTGGATGACTACGCATGCTCCACCAGGGGAGCATGCGCAGAACTGGGGGGAAGGGGTGTAGAATATTCCAGCTTATTCTAAAAAGGCCGGCAACAGTCTATGCTGCGGCCTGATTGGCTGGGACGCAGCATAGCTTGTTGTTAGCCTGATAATGTTTCCTGATTGGCCGAGGTACTGCGTCAGCAGTTGCTGGACAGTACTCGGCCCGATTGGTTATAAACAAGTTACATTGCTACTATAAATACCTTGCGCGATCTTCGCGGGTTTGAATCGCTGTCACCTTTCTCTTGTGTTAATAAACCAGTTGACTTGACTCCAGGCTCCTGCGTCTTCCGTCCGCCTGATATTTTAAAGTGTCAAGCTGTCCACACCAACCCAATCAGCCACACCCTGTGAGCGGTATCAAACTGACCACACACACCCAGCCAGCCACGCCCCCAGCCCCCCTCCCCCTGAACTCAACCACAGCCCTGATACGGCCCTCAATGAAATTGAGTTTGACATCCCTGATTTAGATAGCTGTATCCCACCTTTAGTATTTTTACAAATAACTCAAGGCAGGAAGAAGACACCTTCTTCCTCCACTTTTCCCCACAACTCTGTGAGGTTGAGCTGAGAAAGAGAGTGACTGACGTAAAGTCATACAGGAACACGTGGAAGTGAAAAGAGGCAGCGGGCACAAGAAAAGCCTGCTCACCTGAACCCTTCAATTATCACTAGAACAAAAGTCAGCTATCAGATTTTCTTTGAAAAAAACAGGCAAGCTGGGGGCCTGCAGTCCCAAATATTGGTGGAGATGTACATGTAATGTAGGTAGATTGACAATATTCTACAACTTTACCCCTCTCAAAAAGCCGAACTGCTTCCATCAGGTAAGGCACAAGAAGTCGATTCACAACGAAGCCAGGAGTATCCTATGGAAAAAAAGATTTATGGTAAAATAAATCTCTACTACAATATAAATATTACTGGCAGCCCCCACTTAACGATTCTTCATTCAATAACCATTCAAAGTTGTGTTGTTCTGCCCAAGCTATTGCTGAATGAATGGCAGTTATGGACAGTTCTAGAAGTTCTGGTTGTTGTAGTACCCTCTGCTGATCAAAATTTGGGTGCTTAGCAGTCCAGCCTCATTTACAGCTATAGTGTGTACTTCAGCTCCCGCCACCTACCTGTCTCTCCCCCATCTCTGTCCTTTTGGAAGTCCTACACTCTGCTACCTACCCCTGCCATCCCCACATCCCAAGGTCTTTTACCTACCCCCATCTCTGGCCTCCTAAAGAGGCCGGGCACACCTCAAAAGCAGTAGGAGGAAGAAGACTATTAAAGCCAGCTGGGAAGAGTGGGGGTGGGTGGGGGTGTGATAGGGGTGGACTGCAGACGAGAGATAGATGGTCAGAACTGCAGCAGCAGCAAATGTGGCAGGAGTGTGGTAGATCAGGAGAAGCAGGAGTTCTCACCTAACAACAGTGTGGTCCTTGCCCAACAACCACAATCGGGATTATCAAAACAGCCACTGGTAAGTGGCATAGTCAAAATATGTTCTGCCTAACAACCACTTTGCTTAAAGATGGAAATGCATGTCCCCATTAGGTCTGGTAAGCAAGGTCTGTCTATATAAACAAATGGTGTTACTTACTCTTTTTGTTACATATACAGATGACTACTATCAACTTGCCATTACTGTATTTTGGGGGAGGGGGAGAGGAAATAAGGCCAGGTTCATGTTAGACTGAAACCAAAGTCTTCTTAAAATATTCTATGACTACCGTGTTTTTCAGAGTATAAGACGCACCTTTACCCCCCCCCCCAAAAGAGCGCGGAAATGATGCGTTTTATACACCGAATACAGCCATTTTTGGGGCCCCGAATCCCATTTTTGCGGGGGGGAAAAATGGGCTGTTTTTCACAAAAACAGAGGTGTTTTTTTCCCTTCTTCCAGCCCCCAGAAGCATTCTGCAGGCTTCAGCAGGGCTGGGGAAAGAGAAAATGCCCCCGTTTTTGCAAAAAATGGGCAAAAAACAGGCAGTTTTTCGCA